ACGGTTAGCGTTTACCCGAAGAGAGTTCGTTATATCAATGGCACGTTCGCACTCACCGGTTTTATTTTCAGCAAGGTACGTCTGCCATCTCGCGGGTTTTGAGCAAACTACTAGAAAGGGTTGTTGCAGCGCTGACTTTAAAGGCTTTTCTATAGAAATCAGAGAAGTAACTAAACAAGAAAAACCCAGCAAGAACAGGAGTATTAATAAAATATGATTGTAATTGCGTTAGGCCGATGAAACAATAAACTGCTACTGAAAAGAAAACAATACGCAGAACGAATGAAATATTTACATCTCTGAGGGGGATCGGTGGCCTAGTGGGCTAGCGCACACCAGCTCGGAGCACGTGGAGTGAAAGCTCGAGCTGCACGATCCTGGGCTCAATCTCAACCTTTGCCCGTTTCGATCTGGATGAGCATCGTACCGGCGTGTCGTGTATCACTACTTTGTGATGCACGTTAAAGACCCCAGGCTAGCGGTTGTACTATACTGGCTAAATTGCTCATCTACAGCTGGGAGACTCGTCGCCCGTTGAGGCAGACCAAGTTCTAAGCTGTATAAACACATAACCCACTTTTGTTTTAGATCTCTGCGTGTGAACGTGTCGTGTTCAGCCGCACGACCGTTATTGACCTGGAAATACTGGAACATCACTTACAACAGCTGAATCTATTGCAAATAAGACTTATTCATTATAAGCACCTCCATCTCTCGGCGGTCGCACGAACTACCGAGCCTCCGCTCCATCTTTGTGGCTTCGCCTAAAAGGAACGCGAAGCCCTAGCAGCACTTCGACGGGCCGTCATCGAGCGTCTGCCAGTAACGGAGAGACCAAGGTCTATGGCAGAAACGCGGACCGGGGAGGCGGTAGAAGAGGGTCAGCATCCTGATAACTTTCTTGGACTACGTGTCCGAGGGGGAGCTCAGAAACTTGGCTACCACTCCCCTCCGGCACCCCGGACCTGCCGCGCTCCAAATTTCTTTATTGACCTCACAATTATACCGTCAGAACCATCCTAATTGGCGAAAGTGTTTTGCATATCGCCCAGGCTCCCAGCTACCGGCGGCGCACGAGACGAGAGCCTGAATGTTGGGATGTGGACTCGTGTAGGGCTCTCAATTTTTAATACACGCCAATTCCTTCCTTTCTTCCACCTTCCCCGCTTTGCCTGCATAGCGTTCTCAGAATTAGTTCTTATTATGATGTGTTTTTTTTTACAGCAGAGTTAAGGACTAGTTTCCCCAGTATCGTGTCCGGTACCAAACAATGTCAACACCAGTGGTCGGCAAAACACTCTGGTTGCCGCCGTCGCCCATAGATGATGGAAGCTGTCCAGAGTATTGTGTTTGCCGGTTGTCTGCCTACCGCCGTCATTCATAGATCGCGGCAACCTTTCCAGCCCCAGAAACCAGACAGCTGGTTGCTGCTGTCACTCATAGATGGTTGCAAAATGTTTCCGGTGGAAGAGCGGGAACGGAACGAGCGGCGATGTGCACAGCAGCAGCGCGAATGGTTCCGCAACCGCCGCGAGGCCGCTAGCGCTTAAAGTTCCACTGCGTCGAGTGCTTCAGACTCCCTTGCAAAAGAAGAGCAGATCGCTCGCCTGGAAAGCCACCGCCGAGAACAGAAGCTTCAGGTCCGCTGCTCTTCCTTCTTCACCAAAGTGGAAAGGCTGAAAGTTTTTTTTTTTTAAATTGTTTTTACATTTTTATTTGGCGGTGGTTCCAGAATGCATTATATTAGCGAGCCTGGTGGCCTGGACCTGACAGGTGTCTTGGTTTCGTTGAAAATTACTGAGACGACACCAACAATCTGATCATTGGGGAAACTGTTTCCCGCAACAACGTGACAAGCAATGCAAGAAGTAACCTCGCGAAAGAATCGACAGTTGCCCCGGTGTCTTATAGTGGTAGTTGTTTTACTTGCTGTGGACGGAACCGACACAAATGTGTGAAGCAGTCTTAACCAGTCATTAATACAGTAATGTGTTTAGAGAATTTTACATATATTTAAAAAATTTGACAGAGCCCGCGGTAAAAGCAGGCGAAGCTGGCTGTGCCGATTCTCTACTCAAATAGATTTAGCAAAACGCTATGATTATTTCAAGCTTCCCTGTAAAACATCAGATTGAAAGTAAAAGAACAACGCAAGCTGTATACTTACTTCGGTAGGTTTCTTATTTCTGAGTTGATCACACTACGAGACACAGCAGCAGTATGGCATCACGCTCCCATAGTAGCGCTCTGTCCGTATCCTCAAACACGGGTCGCCATGTTTCAGGATACGCACGGCTTCCGAGATTTTTGGCGCGCAGAACTCTTCACGCCAAAAATCTCGAAGGTCCAGTGGCTGCGAAAGAAGGTTGGCGCAACGTCCGAGAGGTGGCGCACAAATCTAATCATTTTCTCTACAAAAAAAAAAAACAAAAAAAACAACAACAAAACAACAAACAAACACATTGACAAAACAAGTGCCAGCTACGTTATTTGAAACACCTTTAAAGTAATAACGGAGACGTAAAACTCGGCGTAAGTTATTGTAACAACCGCGTAGGTCACTTTTGTACCATGGAAATAGTCTGGGTGGTCTGCGATTTGTCCTAATGATAATAATCACATGGGGACGGCAATATTTGCTTCGCATCCCATTTGAGAGCCGAAGCTCTCGTTTTTCAAAAAAAAAGAAAAAGTTTTTACGTTATTGAACATTGCTGTTCGGTCTCATATATTCAATATCTTGAATTTAGGCGCGTCTTACAAATTACAAGTGGAAACAAGTATACATTAAATGCACATGTAAAATGATCTTAAAAATTTCAAAACATGCGATTTGAAATAGCGTCTCTTCGCCTGCCCTATACATTTTTATTTGGTGTATCGACAAGTAACGCCGGTGCACTCGTCTAGGAAATGACCTCCATTTCTTATGGCCCATTCGTCTGGGGCACACCACACTCGTCCAGTGCAGTAAACTCTTTCCACTTTAGTATACGGAAGGCTGGTGGGGAAAAGAGGAAGCTCCCCTCTAGCCTTCTCTGTACCACGAACCGCACTGCACCGGTGCGATGCGAGCCCAGACGAATTGGCCATTAGTGCCAGTGCACCGGAGTTATCGGTGCAAGATATCTACCAAAACATTTATGAGGCAGAGATGGAACACAATATTTTCCATCACATATTGCTATCCTAAAGAAATAGGTTTGGTGTGTTCAAAAAATACCATATCTTCCAAAAGTTTTCACTCGTATGCCGGCGACCAACAAACAAAGAAGCACGGTGTCTGCAGTGATTTTCTCGCACTTCCGTCTCGTCTCAGGGAGTACATGATTTATTACACACGCGAGCAGCGGTGTAACAATCACGCTAACGGGCGGATGGCGTGATCAAAGACGGCATATTCCAGTGCCCCTAAACATTTACAGCGTCGGTCCCCGTGGACACGAGATATTGACGCGTCTTTCATCTGTTGCTGTGGGCTTCCGGTCTTGAAGGCCCCAAGTTTTATACAAGGCCTGTACGTGACGTCATCACTTTGTGCTGGTGGTCAATGTAGAGTATTCCTACCTGGTTTTGCTGCGAAAAACGAATTCGCCGGTGCTAAGAACATGCTGCGGAATTAAAATATTTTGGCGGGCTAGTTGGTTATACATACTAAATTACAAATAGCGCTAGGACGAGGACAGACGAAGAAGTGGACAGGACAGGCGTTAACTCACAACTGGCGGTTTTATATACAACGTTAAAGAAGAAGGTGAAGGAAGTGTCTGGAGTTGAAAAAAGAAGAAATAGGTCTTTTTTCTAACCGGGGCGCTCTAAGAAGATTGTTAAACTAGAAAGACTAAAGCACAGTAGACCAAAACGAAAATAGTAAAAATAAACAAAAGTAATGATTTTGAACTCTATACGATACTATTCTGAAGGCTTAAGAAAATAACCACTGGACCGTGGGACACAAAACATTACAACAAACAAAACGACAAAAGCAGCGAAACAACCGTTACCGAGCATGATTGGGAAAAACACCATCTCGTTCTCAGGAGTGGGGTACAACTGCAACAGTGCGGCTGTAGCCCACTGTTGGATGGATGCGTAAAAATTGAAAAATGCAAGTCAACATTAACACGCGAAATTGTAGAAGCCGAACGCAGTCCAGCGGAGTGTACGAGGCAATTTTAACATCTTCGCTTTGACCCTCAGGCTAACATCGCCGGTCGTCTGCAACTGCACTACCATCGCAGCTGCAACGTCACCACGCAAGGACCGCTGACGGGCTGCGGATGTCGAGGATACGGAGCAACGCCCACCGACGCCGCGGCATATAAGCGACAGACAAGCGTGAAAGCAGCGCAGTCCAGCGGAGTGTACGAGGCGATTTTAACATCTCCGCTTTGACCCTCAGGCTAACATCGCCGGTCGTCTGCAACTGCACTACCATCGCAGCTGCAACGTCACCACGCAAGGACCGCTGACGGGCTGCGGATGTCGAAGATACGGAGCAACGCCCACCGACGCCGCGGCATATAAGCGACAGACAAGCGTGAAAGCAGCGCAGTCCAGCGGAGTGTACGAGGCGATTTTAACATCTCCGCTTTGACCCTCAGGCTAACATCGCCGGTCGTCTGCAACTGCACTACCATCGCAGCTGCAACGTCACCACGCAAGGACCGCTGACGGGCTGCGGATGTCGAAGATACGGAGCAACGCCCACCGACGCCGCGGCATATAAGCGACAGACAAGCGTGGAAGCAGCTCTGATTCTTTCTTCGGCGTCCGAAGTGGACGGTTGCCGCTGAGCTGCGTCCGCTGTCGTCTCGAAGCACGCTGTGTTGTTCCTGCTGTCACATCTAACGCCGAAAACCTCGCCGGTACGAGCGTTGAACTTCAGCCTTTTTTTTTCTGGGGCCTTCTGGGAGACGCCGAACATCGCCCGGTCTACCGCAAGCAAGCGCCGCGGGGGGCCCGTGCAGAGCCAACCTCAGCCCCTTGCCGACGACGGAATGTCTGCTGGCCAACGTTCATCCCAAGTTGACAGGCCCACCTACCACCTGGAGCCGGAGCACGTGCTGTCGGGGACTCGTCCGTCTCCCCGACAAGCTCATGAGGTAGCCGAATCTTCGGAGGACGACTCTACCTTCAAGGAAGGCATCTCCGATATGGACGACTCTGAAGGGTCCCAAGACTGGACGGAATCGCGAGGCAAAAAGCGCCGACGGAAAAGTGGCGGCTCGGGCACGTCCGGGACTACTAGCCACAGGCTACTTGAAGAGGGGTTCACCGTCTTGTTCGCCCCCACCAACTCCGACTCGGTTGCGTCGCTCAGTCCATCCAAGCTTACAGAATACGTCGAATGTGCTGCGCCAGGTGCCGTCAAAGAAGTCCGCGTCAACAAGGCAAGGAACTTAATCGCGGTCGAAGCACGGACACCCAAGCTCAAGGGAGTACTCCTGGACCTCAAGGTACTCTGCACCACTCCTGTCCGAGCATTCCTCCCCAGTCCCCCGAACACCTGCATCGGGCTTATCAGGGACGTGGAACTCGGCCTTTCTGACGCTGACATCCGGAACCAGATACGGGCTCCAGTCAAGATCTGGGACGTGCGGCGACTTGGGGAGAAGTCTAAACTCGTGAAGATTGTCTTCCTCGGGAAGACGCGGCCCGACTCCCTCCTTTACGGACTAGTTCGAACTCCGGTCCTGCCTTTCAAGGTAAAAGCCCTGCAGTGTCGGCGGTGCCTCCGTTACGGCCATATATCCGCGGTCTGCAATCGTCCCCAAGCATGCGCACGATGCGGCGCCTCACACGACGGCGGGTGCGAATCACCCGAACCAAAGTGCATCAACTGTCGTCAGAGCCATGAGGCCACGTCCTCGTCCTGCCCAACCCGACGTCGAGAGGTCGCCATCTCGCGTTACCGCTCAGAAAACAACGCAACGTTCCGGGATGCTCGCGAAGCACTCCGTAACTCCTCGTCAGCCAAGTCAGAAAAGAATTCACGCAGTGAGCAGGGTAGCACCCCCTCAGACAAGAATGTACCCCAAGACGCGCGTCCTTCCCCGACTGACACTCATGCACCGGCGGTATCATCCCCTACCTGCCAAGAAACCGATGCCACTCCCGGCACCAGCCTCTCAGCCTCCAGCACCACGGTAAAACAGGCCTGGGCAGAAACTGTCAAAAGCTCGAAACCATCCAAAGGCCGCGACACCCGAGCTTCTCGACAAGGCGTACCTGTGCCGCCATCTTCAGGCCACACTGAAGTCGCCGCCCCCTTCTCGCCGCATCCCTTCAAGTCCACTGTAACCATGATCTTTGGCGCCGTGCGTGACCTAATCCACATCCTGCCAACATCCTCGTTCCGTAAGTTCCTGGAAGCCGTCCTAGCGCTCGAGGGCATCATAGGGGCGCTGCTCTGAAGCTCGACTGACAGCGGTACCCTTAGCCCCGCTGATGCCTCCCTCAGTGCATCAGTCCCCTGCTAGAGGGTGACGACAGACCCCTGTGGCTCTACAGTGGAACTGTGCAGGTCTGCTGACCAGACTGGCAGAGTTGTCCCTCTACCTTCAACAATGGAAGATACCCATTTTAGCTCTTTGCGAAGCTGGTCTCCCAGGAAATCGCAGCATCCCTGGGTATTTTGCTTATAAAAACCCGTCCATACCAAGCTTTCCAAACGGCAGCGCTGCAATTTATATCCAAAAAGCTATCCCTCACCATGTCGTGGATGTCTCTGACCTCTGCACTGTTAACCGGGACCTCGTTGCGGTGCGTGCTGAGATCGCCGGGCGGCGCCTCACTATTATCTCAATTTATGTCCGCCCAGGAGGGGGCGCTGTGGAGGTCGCCGGCTTGGTGGATTCCCTGCGCACCAGGATCACCGATCCGGTTGTGATCTGTGGGGACTGGAACGCTCATCATGCTCTATGGGGTGACACCAGAGAAGATGCAAGGGGCAGGATGCTGGCAGAACAGTTTGGAGAACACAACCTTGTTGTGGCCAACGACGGCTCCCCGACATTTTTCCGGCCACCCTGCACTTTCAGTGCCATCGACGTCACAGCCCATTGACCGGAGATTGTCTTGGCGGGTTGCAGCCGACACCATGGGCAGTGATCACTTCCCAGTCTTCATCGACATCATAGGCCTACAACGTCCTGGGGTCCACGAGATCTCCGTTATTCACTGGGTGACCGGTTCCGAGACAACCTAGGGCGATCTACACGACCCCTCCTGGAGGCCATCAGCGACGCGGCGAAAGAAGCCACAATCAAGGCATCCGTACCTACATCCTTCCCTGCACCCGACCTGACCCTTCTAAACCTGTGTGCAGCAAGACGGAGGGCCCAGAGACTTCTGCAACGTAAGGGTGGCGTGACCTTTAAGACCCTCTTTAACAGGATTGACGCTGCCCTACGACGCTATGCCAAAAAATGCTTCAAGCGGCAGTGGGATTTGATCTGCTCTTCGGTGGATGCAACCACACCAGCCCGGCGTATCTGGAGGCTTATGGACAGTGTGTCCGGGAAAAGAATGTACAGCCTCCCATTCGCTTCTCTGGCCCTATGAACGGGAAAGCTACAAGCGGCCCTGGCCGAAGACTTTGCTACTCTATATGCCGCGGCCGTTTCCCAGCCAAAGCCGCGCTGCCACGCGGATAAAGCACCTTTCTGCATGGATGCCCCTTTTACGGAATCCGAACTGCGATCCGCACTGAGAGCCTCCAAGAGACGAGGGGCACCGGGACCAGACGGGGTCACGACGCAAATGTTACAGAACCTGCCAGATTCACGTTTACAGGAACTTCTTTCGTCGTTCAATGATATCTGGGCCTCATCAGAATCTCCAGCGGTTTGGCGACTGGCATGGGTGGTCCCTGTACTCAAGAGTGGCAAACCAGCAGGAGACTTATCGTCCTACCGGCCGGTGTCCCTCACCTCATGCGTTGCCAAGCTCTTCGAGCGGCTGGTACACGCCCGCTTGATCTGGTGGCTGGAGGAACACAACCTACTCCCGTCAAATATAACTGGGTTCAGGTCCCGTCTCTCCGCACAAGACAGTATCCTGGACATTGTCAGTGCAGTGCAGCATACAGCAGCTAGCCGTAAGTCTACCGTGGCGGCATTCTTCGATATTCAGGCTGCATTCGACAATGTGGAACCGGCATCAGTCCTGGCCCAACTAACCTCTTGGGGTATCACGGGAAGAGTTCAGGGCTTCCTCGAGGGTTTTCTTTCGGACAGATCAATCCAAGTCAAACTGAGCAACACACTCAGCCAGTCAAGACCGGTGCAACGCGGTCTACCCCAGGGCAGCGTCCTGTCGCCTCTACTCTTTAACATCGCCATTGCGGGCCTCCCAGCCGCTCTTCCCAACTCAAGGATCCCGATTGGCATTTCTATGTACGCGGAAGACTTATGCATCTGGGTCTCTGGCTTCCGACACCCAACCTTGAGAGCCATAATGCAATCCGCCATAAACAAGATCCAGGCCTTCCTCGAGAACCAAGGTCTTTCAATTTCCGGTCACAAGGCAGCAGCCATGGTCTTCCCAGGAAGGAACCGCCGGTTGCGGGAGGTCAAGCTCCAACTGGACTCGCAGCCCCTGCGCCTTGTATCAAAGCACCGCTTCCTCGGCATTACTCTTCAGAACCGCTGCAAGTGGCACGACCAGATAAAGGCCGTCACGGCTTCCACCATCTCTTCCCGGAACGCTGTGTGCCGGGTCGGAGGGCAGAACTGGGGCAACTCTCCCCGATCCATGCTGACCCTTCATTCTTCTTTGGTGGTGAGCCGACTCATGTATAGCTTACCATACATGGACCTCCTCCCCAGTCAGGCCGACAAACTCGAACGGCTACACCGTGCGGGCCTGCGAACATCGCTAGGCGTTCCCAGAAGCGCCAAAAACGAGAGGGTGTATGAGGAGGCCCGGTCGCTTCCTTTGCACCTCCAAGCCTCCCAACGCCTTTTGCTGCAAGTCATTCGTCTAGGGGAGACTCATCCTGGCCAGTCCCGGATCAAGAGGCTCAGGACCCGAACTCAATCCAAACTCAGCCTCGCCACCAAGACCCTTGCCGCACTTGGATGGGAACCCCCCCAGATAATCAACCCGCACGGCAGGACACCCCCTTGGGAGGCAGGCCTGCAGTTAGCCGAACTCCTACCCGGCGTCCGCAAGAAGGCCAACACGCCTCCTCTGGTTCTCAAAGCAGCTGCACAAGAACAGCTAGCAGCAAGGTACCCTCGGCATCTACACATATACACGGACGGTTCGGTGGACAGGTCTCGGCAAAGCAGCACGGCAGCCTACCACATCCCGGACTTACAAAAAGACAGGAGCGCCCGCACTACTCACATGGTGCCGTCCACGACCGCCGAGCTGCTGGCGATCGCAGAAGCCCTGACTGCGACGAAGTCGCTGCCTCCACAACAAATCGTTGTCCTCACGGACTCACGTGGAGGAATTCAGCGCATACGCAAACCTGGTCCATGCCCCACTGCCAACGAGGTGAGACGGGTAGTCCGCCAGCTTGAAGAACATGGACACTCCATCTCGCTCCAGTGGGTCCCATCCCATGTGGGCCTCCGCGGAAACGAGATTGTGGACCGCATAGCCTTACGTGCCCACGACCTCTCTCCTACACTAAGGGCGCCTCCTAATCCCAAGCGCTACCAGCAAGCCATCCAGGCTTTCTTCTCGGATATTTCCCCCTGGAGCAGCTCAAAGCGGCCACCTTGCCTGACCCAGGGGTTAAAACGGTCCGACGCGACGCTGCTCTTCCGACTTAGAACAGGGAGCGCATACACAGGGAAGCTCCTCCACCGGTTTGGACGCAGAGACACTCCGCTCTGTCAGCGGTGTGCGGTCACAGAGGACGAGGTTCACATAGTCTGGGGCTGCCCTCTTCACGAGGAAGCTCGAAGGACGTTTCTCTCCGCCCTATCCTCACAACACATCCGACCGATGACAGCACCAGACGTAGTTTTCCCTGAAGGTCCCAGGCATAGAAGACGGATCATACAGTCCCTCCTACTGGGTTTCCTACGAGAGACCGGTCTAGCAGAGCAACTATGACGCCCTCCTGCTCTTCCGCTAAGTGCCACTAGCCCAGCCCGGACTCGCTAACTGGCTCACTGAGACATGAATGCTGCTGGTTTATTTTGCCTCCCCCCCCCTCCCCCCCTACTCACCTAAGTCCCATCTTAAACCCTCCTCCTATCCCAGGGCGGAACAACGCTTGCACTTTTGGCAAAGCTAACCCTGCCTTCCCCACATCACGACACCCCCCCCCCCCCCCCCCCCTGGAAGCAGCGCAGTCCAGCGGAGTGTACGAGGCGATTTTAACATCTCCGCTTTGACCCTCAGGTGGGTGCAGGTCTTAGTTTGACATTTGACTGCATTCATCATTCCGCTGGTCTGCCTGCTGTTGTACATTGCTGTGGTACATTGCAAATCATGTCTTCGCCAGAAGAGAGCATTGATTGCATCGCTTGTTTGAAACAACTAACACCTGACAGCCAAAAGCTAAAATGTGCAGAATGCAACCTTTTCTACCATGTTGAAAAATGTGCGGGAGTTATCAAAACTAAATTCAAAGCTATGACTCCCTTTGATTTGTTGTCTTGGAGGTGTACAACATGTACTGTACACTCCCAGCGGCAATCGCTGCCAACTGACAGTCAGACGGGAGCACTAGCCCCCGAAACTGAAGAAGGCACTCAGTCTCCGAAAGACCTGATGACGCAGCTCTTAAAAACTAACCAAACACTAATGGAGGTCTTGAGTAGAATTGAGACAATTGAAGAAAAAACTAAATTTGCAGTCAACAAAGCATGACACAGTTATTCAGAAACTGGATAAGCAGGAAAAGACCATCGAAGCGATCGAGAAAACAACTGACATGCTGTCGAAGCAGTACGACGACTTGATAAAAAAAGTTGACTCACTCTCACATGTCACAAACGAGCTGAAAAAAAAGTCAAAAGAACTAGAAAAACTAGGTACAGAAAGGGACGCGCGAATTAAAAAGCTTGAATGGGCGGTTGAAAACGCTGAGCAATATTCGCGGCGGAAGAACATAGAAATTCACGGTATCGTCCAGAATAATCAAGAAGACCTGGCAGCGGTTCTCGGTAATCTAGCAGCAAGGCTGGACCTTCCTGTGCCTCAACCGGATAAGATTGAGTCTGTGCATAGATTGAAAGCGAGGGAAGGAAAAATCCCGCCAATCATCGTGCGGTTCAGGGACAGGTCGGAGAGAGATAGATGGGTCAATAAGCGTTCTGCATTAAAATCTGAACGCATTTTTATCAACGAGAGCCTAACGAAGCTCCAGCGATGGTTGTTTTGGAACGCGAAAGAATGTGCAAAGGAAAAAGGCTATAAATATGTCTGGATGAGTAATGGAAAAATTCTAGTAAGGCGGAAAGACGGGGCGGCTGTGATACGTATCGAGGATGAGAGTGACTTGAAC